CTCATAAGTTAAATCCTTGTCCAATTGGACAGAGCTGAATTCTAACACGTGGGACGTGTCACCATGATATTTTTGGAGCATGGATACATGGAACACCGGATGAACTGAGGATAACCCTGGAGGTAACGCAAGTCTATAAGCTACCTCCCCCACACTCTGGAGAATCTCGATTGGCCCGATATACCTAGGGCTCAACTTGCCCTTCTTCCCAAATCTCAAACACCCTTCATGGGCGATACCCGAAGTAATACCCTCTCTCCGACCATGAATGCTACATCACGAACTTTACAGTCGGCATAACTCTTTTGCCTGGACTGAGCTGAACGAAGACGATCCTATATAATATTGTCCTTATCCAAGGCCTCCTGAACTAAGTCCGTACCCAACAACCGAGCCTCTCCCGGCTCAAAACATCCAACTGGCGACCTGTACTGTTTACCATATAGTGCCTCGTAGGGAGCTATCTGAATGGTCGACTAGTAGCTATTATTGTAGGCAAACTCCGCTAACGGCAAGAACTGATCCCAAGAACCACCAAATTCAATAACACAGGCACGAAACATATCCTCCAAGATCTGAATAGTATGCTCGGACTACCCGTCCGTGTGTGGATGGAACGGTGTGCTCAACTCAACCCTTGTACCCAGCTCACGCTGAACTGCCCTCCAAAAGTGCGAAGTAAACTACATAACTCGATCCGAAATGATAGACACGGGCACCCCGTGAAGGCGAATAATCTCTCTAATATATATCTCTGCCAACCGCTCCGAAGTATAAGTACTTGACACCGGAATGAAATGTGATGATTTAGTCAGCCTATCCAAAATAACCCAAACGGCGTCGAACTTCCTCTAAGTCTGTGGCAATCCAACAACGAAGTCCATAGTGATATGCTCCCACTTCCACTCAGGAATATCTATCCGTTGAAGCAAACCACCGGGTCTCTGATGCTCATATTTCACCTATTGACAATTCAAGAAATAAGCCACATATACGACCCTGCATCCTCAAAACAACGTCGTCTCCAACTGCAACCTGCTTGGTACCATCGTGCCGAACTGTGTCCCTAAGGACCATCAAATGCAGATCATCATCCTGCCAATCTATGATACACTCAAATAGGGAAGACCGAGCGACTGTACAAGCTAAAACACGGCTGGGCGAAATATCCAACCTCACGAACTGATTAGCCAAAGTTTGAATATCTGAAGCTAATGGCCTTTCACCGGCTAGAATGAATGCGAGGATGCCCATACTTACTGCCTTCCTACTCAATGCACCAGCCACCGCATTGGCCTTTCCGGGATGATACAATATAGTGACGTCATAATTTTTCAATAACTCTAACCATCTTCTCTGCCTCAAATTAAGATCCTTTTGCATGAACAAATACTGAAGGCTGTGATGATCCGTGAAAACCTCACACAGCACATCGTAAAGATAGTGCCTCCAAATCTTCAACGCGTGAACAATGACTGCCAACTCCAAGTCATGGACAGGATAATTCTTCTCATGAACCTTTAACTGCCGAGACACATATAAAATCACCATGTCTTCCTACATCAATACCGCTCCTAACCCAACACGGGAAGCATCACAATATACCATGAAAGATCCTGAATCTGATGGTAACACCAACACTGGTGCTGAAGTCAAGGCTGTCTTGAGCTTCTGAAAGCTCGCCTCACACTCGTCCAACCATTTGAATGGGGCACATTTCTAAGTCAATCTCATTATCGAGGTTGCTATAGATGAGAACCCCTCTACAAAATGACGGTAGTAACTCGCCAAACCCAAGAAGCTCCTGATTTCCGTGGTTGAAGGGGTCTAGGGCATTTCTTGACTGCCTCTATCTTCTTAGGATCTACCTGAATACCCTCTGCTGATACGATGTGACCCAAGAAAGCTACTGAATCCAACTAAAACTCACATTTTGAAAATTTTGCATACAACTAACTATCCCTCAAAGTTTGGAGTGCTATCTGGAGGTGCTGCTCATGCTCCTTCTGACTGGGGGAGTATATTAGAATGTCATCAATAAATACAATCATGAAGGCATCCAGATAAGCTTGAAAACCCGATTCATCAAGTCCATAAATGTTGTGGGAGCATTAGTCAAGCCAAAAGACATTACCAGAAATTCATAGTGCCCATACCTCATCCGAAAAGCTGTCTTAGGGACATCGGATGCCATAATCTTCAACTGATGGTAGCCCGATCTCAAATCAATTTTCGAAAATACCCTGGCACCCTGAAGCTGATAAAATAAATCATCAATTCTCGATAATGGATACTTATTCTTGATAGTAACTTTGTTCAACTGCCGGTAATCTATACACATCCTCATCGATCCATCATTCTTCTTCACGAGCAAAATCGGTGCTCCCCAGGGCGAGACACTAGGTCTAATGAAGCCCTTATCAAGCAAGCCTTGCAACTGTTCTTTCAATTCTGGTGGGGCCATCCGGTATGGAGGAATAGAAATGGGCTGAGTGCCCGGAGCCACATCAATGCAAAAATCAATATCCCTGTCGGGTGGCATCCCCGACAGGTATGCAGGAAACACCTCGAGAAACTCACGAACAATAGGCACCGAATCTATAGAAGAAACCTCAGCATTAGAATCATGAATATGTGCCAAATAAGCCAAACACCCCTTCTCAACCATGCGACGAGCCTTGGTATAAGAAATAACCCTACTGGATAAATGACCAGGAGTACCTTTCCACTATAATCGAGGCAACCCCGGCAAAGCTAAGATCACTGTTTTGGCGTGACAGTCCAAGATGGCATAATAAGGTGACAACCAATCCATACCCAATATGATATCAAAATCGACCATGTCAAGAAGCAAAAGGTCCACACTGGTTTTAAAACCCTCAATAACGACCTCACACGAACGGTACACACGATCTACAACAATAGCATCCCCCACGGGCGTTGACATATATACAGGAATACTCAAGGAATCGCGGGGCACAACCAAATACGAAGCAAAATAAGATGACACATAAGAGTAAGTAGACCCCGTATCAAACAAAACTAAAGCATCTCTATTACAAACTGAAATGGTACCTGTGATAATGGCATCGGAGGACTCCGCCTCAGGTCTGGCTGGAAATGCATACAATCGGGGCTGAGCCCTATCACGCTGAACCATGTCTCTAGGATGACCTCTGACAGGTGGACCTCCACCTCTAGCGGGCTGTCCTCCACCTCTATCGGGATGGCCTCCGCCTCTAAAAATTTGACCCCTACCTCTGGTTACCTGACCCCTACCCCTGGCTGGCTGGGCAGGTGGTGCGGCAGCTGGCGCCAGAATTATAACACGAGAATCCTTATTCTGAGGCTGACTACCCGACAATCTCGGACAAGCTCTTCGAATGTGCCCATACTCTCCACACTCAAAACACCCATCCTGATACTGAAGCTGACCCTGACGAGCCGGCTGACCACGATAATAACTCTGAAGAGGAGGTGCTCTAATAGGGGCTGGCTGATCAGAATAAGGCAAGTAAGATCCATAACCACCTGAGGCACCATGGGACGTTTGAAGTGCTGAATAAAATGGCCTGGAAAAATGGCCTCTACCATGAGTAACCCCGCCTTCAGATGAGGCACCGCTGAATCCACCGGAATAACGAGGTCTCTTGTCCGAACCCTGATCTCCCAATCCAAGAACCATCTCAACTCTCCTGGCCACATTGGCCGCATCCTGAAAAGAAATCTCGCTCCCCGTCTCCTTAGGAATCTACAACCTGATAGGCTGAACAAGACCTCAATGAATCTCCTAACCCTCTCCCTCTCTGTAGGTATCAAAAGAGTAGTATGACGAGCCAAATCCACAAAATGGGTCTCATACTGCGTAACAATCATGTTGCCCTGCTGAAGATGCTCAAACTGGTGGCGGCCCTCCTCTATAGTAGTGATAGGTAGACACTTCTCCAAAAAGAGATGTGAAAACTGATCCCAAGTTAGAACAGGTGACCCAGCTGGTCTGGTCAACAAATAATCGCTCCACCATTTCTTGGCGAAACCAGCTATCTAAAAGGCGCGAAGTCGACCCCATTGGTCTCCAAAATACCCATGTTCTGAAGAACCTCATGACAATTATCAAGGTATTCCTGAGGATCCTCTAAAGTGGCACCACTGAAATGAATAGGGAAAAGCTTGATAAACCTGTCCAATCTCCACAAAGCATCGGAGGACATAGCTGCCCCATCAATGTGCAGTATTGCAGCAACTGGCTGAACTACCCCAACTGGAGTGGCTGTTGGGGTCTGAATCTGAGGAGTAGTCTTCTCAAGAGTGTGAGTAGCAGGAGTCTGGACCCCTCCTCCAGCCTGAGATACGGCTGCTGCCACGGGGAGTGCGCCAGTCTGGGTTACACTCTCCATGAGGCCCACTAATCGGACCAAGGCATCTTGAAGCACCGGGGTAGCAATAAAGCCCTCTAGGACCTGAGTTGGTCCCGCTGGAATGGTCTGAGCTGGAGCCCCCTGATCAATCTCTATCTGGAGCTCCGCAGCGGGAGATGCTGCCATAGCAATGGGCTGAGTCCTGCCCCTGCTTCGGCCTCTAGCATGGCCTCAACCTCTACCTATTAGGAGCTGCTGTTGCTGGAGAAACTGATTGTTGGTCAGTAGAAGAAGAAGCACGTGTTCTCGCCATTTAGGAGAGAATAGAGGAGTTCAATCAGTATTTGAGGTAGCAAGAATCACACGACGGAGTATAAATAAAGTGAATTTGTTCCTAACTTTATAGCCTCTAAGAGACAAGTACAGACATCTCCGTACCGATCCCTTAGACTCTACTAAGTTTGTTCTTGAACTGTGAGACCTAGGCAATCTAGTGCTCTGATACCAACTGGTCACGATCCAAATTCCCTACCCACGGGATCGTGATGGCGCCTAACACCAAACTTGCTAGGCAAGCCAATATTAGAGGGATATAACATTCAAAATAATTAAAACATAATACGAGGTCTAATATTATCCAATAAATGAATCCAGCATAATGTGTGGAATACTGAAATGAAACTCGAAGCTAATACTAATTTCTAGCTACTCAGGATTTAGAGTCACACTTCATGAACTACTAAAGAATACTACAAGTATTTGGCTGAAAGAAATATACATGTCTGTTTCGAGTGAAATAAAACAGTAAATAGATATTATGGAGAAGACTCCTGAAATCTGCGGACGCCAGTAGATCTACCTCGTGTCTCTGTGCAAATAATCAGCTACTGCTCAAAAATCAACTCTGACTGGATCCTGGATCTGCACAAGTGTAGAGTGCAGTATCAGTACAACCAATCCCATGTAGTGGTAAGTGCCGAGCCTAATCTCGACGAGGTAGTGACGAGGCTACGACAGAGCATTTATAATATAGCTTGTGTACATTAATAAAGCAAAGAGGGAAATACTAAACTGGATGAAACAATAAATTGCAGTAAATAAATAAATAACCCAGCTATCTTTCCAGATCTCATCTTTAACCAATCCTTACAAAAATTTCTATTTTTCAATTTAAGTAACGGTGAGAGAAGGATATGAAAACAACAAAATAAAACAGTGTGTATTCCAATTTCCATCATATAACCATTAAAACATGAATATTCTCCCTTATTACTCCTTGTTGTGGTATACAACCCCATCCCACATGTCCACCCTTATTACTCCTCAACACATATATCACCTTTATTCCTCCTGTTGCAGCGTGCAACCCGATCTCACCTGTCCACCCTTATTCCTCCTTGTTGCGACATGCAACCCGCTCCCAACAGATGATCACGTTTCCCTATTTAGCATAAAGGTTTTCACAATTTAGATCAAAGTCTTTCACTCTATTTATGTCTCATCAAATATAAACGAAAAGCCGTATAGTCAACAAACTTCACCAATTCTTACTACACATGAAACTAAATGGAATGGGTCATGAAACACTGATAACCAGTCCAACCATTAATGTACCACCATAAAGCTAAAGAAGTAACTAATACTTTCAAATAAGTGAACAATATCTAACAATAACAAGTAGCCAAAACAAGTAGACATGGAAGCACCAATAATCATGAAACAAATAAGACAGAATCTAATAAATTGGAAACGGGGAAGGGAACATGCCGACAGATAATTTGGTGGCACATAGGTACTCGTCACCTCACCCATACACCACACACATGAAATTCCACATAGCATTTAAGTGGGGGATTCCTGATCCCTCAAGTCAAAGTTAGACCAAACACTTACCTCAATTTCGCAGGCCACTCACTGTTCAATTACAACTTTTCCTTCCGAATTCACCTCCAACCCACTCAGATCTATTTACAATTAGTTTAATATTAATAATTAGTGCTAAAGAAACTAACTTTAATGCAAAATTATGAAATTCCTAAGTTCTACCCAAAATCCCTAATTCTACCATGAAATCTTCTAGATTCTAGGATGAAATCTTGTAAAAAGTAGTTAAGTGAAAGAGATGAGTTAGAAATCACTTACTTATGGTTTGGGGAAGAAAATTATTTTAGGAGATCGCGTCTTCTGTCCTAGGGTTTTATTATTTTTGAAAAGTAGTAAAATAATGAGAAGTCCCGTATATATATAAGTATGCCTCAAGTCCCTGCCCACCGTAGTCAGTAGAAAAATGGGCGCTACCGTGGAACCTAGGCCTTGCCCACCGCTCTTAGCAGAAAAGTGGGTGCGACGACAAAAATCTGGGCCTTATCCACCGCTGTCAGCGGAAATCCCAGCGCTGCCGCAGAGCCTGAACTGCGGTCACGGAATTCCCAGCTCTACCGCACTTCCAGGTTCAGAGACCTACGATTCTGTAACTATTCAAGTCCAGGTCTGTTCTAAGTCACAAAACACTCTGTGGCCTACCCGAAACTCACCCGAGCCCTCGGGGCTCCAAACCAAACATGCACGCAAGTCTAAAAATATCATACAGACTTGTTCGTGCGATCAAATCACAAAACAACACCTAAAACGATGAATTTAGCATCAAAACTCATGATTTTTCTCAAGAACACTTCAAATTCACTAACTTCTCAACCGGACATCCGAATCACGTCAAATGAATTCCAATTCTCACCAAATTTCACAGATATGACTTACACGCCAATTAAGGTAGGTAAAATTAAATCTTTTTAAGGCTAATGATCCGGAATGGAGTCTTAATTCATAAGATGATTCTTTGGGTCATCACAGAGCATCTAAATTATTGGGACTAATTCAACAGACGTTTGCGGGCCTATAAAAATTCAAGCTAGAGGTGGATATTATTATTTCATCACCTTCACTGATGATATGTCAAGATATGGATTTGGGTATCTTATGAAACATAAATCTGAATCTTTTGAAATGTCCAAAAGATTCCGTAGTGAAGTTGAGAAACAGACTGGTAAAGGTATCAAAGTACTAAGGTCTAATAGAGGTGGAGAATGTCTTAGTGAAGATTTTACTAGGTATCTCAAAGAGAATGAGATTCTCTCACAATGGACACCTCCAGGAACACCACAACACAATGGTATGTCTAAAAGGAAAAATCGAACCGTATTAGATTTGGTGAGATATATGATGGGGCTCATTGGTATTCCAATAAATTTATGGGGATATGCTTTAGCAGCAACATACTTACTTAATAAAGTTTCCACTAAGTCAGTCTCTACAACTCCATATGAGATATGGAAAAGATGTAAGCCTAACCTTAAACACATTAAAGTTTGGGGTTGTCCAGCTTATGTTAAGAGACTGCAGTCTAATAAACTTGACTCAAGATCTGATATGTGTAGGTTCATTGGGTATCCCAAAAGAAACAATGGGATACTATTTCTATCACTCTTCTGACTATAAAGTGTTTGTGGCTAGAGGAGCAACCTTTTTGGAAAGGGAATTTCTTTTGGAAGGAAATTATAGTATAGAAATAGAACTTGATGAAGTTCAAGAAACTAATGAATCAACACGGAGAAATAGAACTTGATGAAGTTCAAGAAACTAATGAATCAACACAATGGGCTGAGTCATGAGACTCAAGTTTGGATGTTTTGAAGTTGACAAGGATGTTGCCATCTTCAACGATTGAAGTTCAAGAACTAAATATAGTTCAAGAACAGGTTAATGAACCAGTTCCAAACCAAATTGAACAACAACCAAATCCAGCATAAGGTGAACAGGTTGTACAAGAACCTCTTAGAAGGTCTACACAAGAACATCATGTACCAACTAGATTAAATCTAATGGTACAAGATGATGTATCAAATGTGGTTGATCATAATGATGATGACCCTAAGACCTATAAAGAGGCTATACAAAGTTCTGATTATGAGAAATGGCAAAAGTCCATGGAATCCGAAATGGAATCCATGAAGGAAAATAAAGTATGGACTTTAGTTGAACCTTCAAAGGATATAAAACCTATAGGTTGTAAATGGATTTTTAAGAAAAAGATTGGAGCAGACGGAAAGGTGAAGACCTACAAAGCCCATCTTGTTGCCAAGGCATATCGTCAGAAAGAAGGAATCGACTATGATGAGACTTTCTTTCCTGTGGCAGCATACTATGATTATGAAATATGGCAAATGGATGTGAAAATAACTTTTCTTAATGTGAGCTAGAAGAGGATGTGTACATGACACAACCTGAAGGTTTCACATCTTCGTCTGATCATAATAAAATTTTCAAGCCACAAAGATCCATTTATGGACTAAAGAAAGCTTCTCGAAGTTGGAATATTCGATTTAACAAGACAATTGAAAAGTTTAATTTTGGTAGATGCAAAGAAGAACCTTGTGTGTACAAAAAGGTTAGTGGGAGCACAATTATATTCTTAGTATTATGTGGATGATATAATGCTCATAGGGAATGACATACCGACATTGTAAAATACCAATATTTGGCTATCTGAACAGTTCTCCATGAAAGACTTGGGAGAAGCAACTTATATATTAGGAATAAAGATCTATAGAGATAGATCGAGGAAGCTGCTTGGACTTTACCAGTCTTCGTACATTGATACCACTCCGAAAAGGTATAATATGGATAATTCCAAAAGAGGCTATCTACCGATAAGCATTGGAATTACTCTCAGTAGGAAGGATTATCCTAAAACACCCGAAGAGAGAGAACCCATGAGTATGATCCCATACGCTAGTGCAGTGGGAGCTATCATGTATACCATGACATGTACACGTCTTGATGTGGCTTATGCACTTGGAGTGACTAGCCGATATCAAGAAAATCCAGGTGAGAAACATTGGAAGGTGGAGAAGACCATTCTTAAGTAATTAAGAAGGACTAAAGACCAATTCCTCATCTATGAAGATTCTGAGTTGAAACTTGAAGGTTATACTGATGCAAGTTTCTCTTCAGATAGAGATGATATCAAATCTATTTCTGGTTATGTATTCACCTTAAATGGTGGTGCGGTGAGTTGGAAAAGTCAAAAAAACTACAGTAGCTGATTAAGTGAGTGAAGCAGAATATATAGCAGCTAGTGAAGCTGCTACGGAAGCTGTGTGGAAAAAAAAGTTCTTAACTGAACTTGGTGTGGTTCCTTCAATAGAAGGTGCGGTTGCACTGTTGTGTGACAATACTGGAGCTATTGCTCAAGCAAAAGAATCAAGATCACACTAAAAGTCCAAACACGTTCTACGAAGGTATCACTTGATAAGAGAGATCATTGAACGTGGAGACATCGAGAATTAAAAGGTTGATGGAAAGGAAAATGCTGCAGACCCATTCACTAAAGCTCTTGGCAAAAAAGGAGTTTGACAAGCACAAGTGGAAATTGAGGATGAAGTACAATAGCGATTGGCTCTAGTGCAAGTAGGAGATTGTTAGGGATATAGTAGCTATGCCCTAGATCCAGTCTCATATTTGATGATTTGAACATATTTTGGGAACATTATTCGATATAAAATATGTGGCATTTGATATTCGTTTATCATAATTGTTTGATTAATTTAAAAAGATCCTTGATTAAATTTTGAGACTTACCATCGTGATGGAGATCATGATAATGAGAGTGAAGTTTCTTATAATTTAATCTAAATTTGTTCTTGATAGTAGGATTATTAATTTGGATATTAGTAATCCGGTTAGATCAATATTTATGTGATCGTCTTTATGGGATAAAGATTAGTTGATCTCATTAACTAAATTACATAGATAGATGATGCATATAGAGATATGACCATTGAACAGACTCATTGGATAATGCCTAATGGTTAGAATTTCCATAAGCTGTAATAGGATATTCTCTTGAAGAATGTGATGTAAAAGTCTCCTTTGACCTGAGATCGTCATAGTAATTGACAAGTTATTTATTGTGCTTTGATACTAGACACCTATGGCCCTAAGGCGATAGTTGAAAGGATATTGGGCATGATTAAATACTTGTAAAATTAGTGATTGATCAAGATGGAATCTGTCAACTCTTGGTAATGAGTTTAAGCTCCATGTTATGTGGAATTATAAATGACCAAACTAAGACCTTGGCTAGGGCGATTGAATAAAAGAAGAAAAGAGTTTCTTAGGTCATTGAATGGTCTATTATAGTGTCATGAACACATAATGTCACGACCCCAAACCTAAACTGGTCGTGATGGCGCCTATCGTGATACTAGGCTAGCCAATTTACTGAGAATAACATAATGATTTTCCATTTAATACATAAAAGATCCGAATTTATCATAATAATTCTACTCCTTAAGCATTTCAAAACAATAAAAATGATTAGAACATCTAAACACAACCCCAACATCTGGAGTCAACCGTTATGAGCATCTAAGAATTAATACAGTCTGGAAATAAAGTAAAATGACAGAGTAGGAAGGAGAAATGGTAGGTTGCGGACGCCGAGGAGCTACCTCACAATCTCCGAACAATGCTCCAAATGGGGTAGCTCAAATATCGCTCTGACGCAGTACTTGAATCTGCGCACAAGGTGCAGGGAGTAACGTGAGTACGCCAACTCAGTAAGTAACCAAAGTAACTAAAAACTTGAGTGCACTAACGAGCATTTAAACTTTATAATTTCATCAAAATAAGTACCAGTAAAGGTAATTAGATCAAGTCAAGAGCCCACATTTACCAAAGATTTCACCAAACTCCAGTTTTTCCGTTTAAACTTGTATAAAACATTAGTCAACATTTATCAAGAGGCTCAGTGTAAAGAAAAGTGAAAACAGTAGCTTCATAAAAATATCAGCCACTCGGGCACGATGTCAATCACAAATAAAGCCTCTAGGGCAAGCCTCTCAGTCACTCGTGACTCTGCTCTTGTAGGTCAATGCTCACTCTTAGCACTCTCACTCGTCAGGTACCATATAACAACTGCTGTGGTGCGTAGCCCGATCCATATTATAACTTGTTGCGGCATGCAGGACGATCCATAATAGTAATCCGTTGCGGCGTGCAACCCAATCCATAATAGTAATCCGGTGGGGCGTGCAGCCCGATCCATAATAGTAATCCACTGAGGCGTGCAACCCGATCCATAATAGTAATCCACTGAGGCGTGCAACCCGATCCATAATAGTCGGCTGCGCTCACTAGGGGTGTACAGACTCCTGGAGGGGCTCCTACAGCCCAAGCTCTATATTGCTACGGCGTGTAGCCCGATCCAATATATATAAATATGCTGCGGCGTGCAGCCCGATCCAATATATATAGATATGCTGCGGCATGCAGCCCGACCCATAACTATCCTTACATACTCGGCTCTCGGCCTCACTCAGTCATCCTCACAAGCCACTCGAGAAACTCAGCTCAACTCATGAGACTCAGCCCAAAATACCTCTCAGAGTTTTGAAACAGTGTGATAACAGTGATAACAACAACAGATATAAAGCATGACTGAGTTCATAAATGTTTCTACCTAAAAATAGTGTGAGAATAGTGGAAAATTACCCTTGAGGGTCTAAACAGGTCGGCATAGGGCCCCAACATGGCATACAACCTATAATAAAGTATAAATCTCTAAAATACATGATATCATAAGGTCTCAATTCAAGTACGCGGCTTAATAGTCGCTACGGGACGGACCAAGTCACAATCGCCAACGGTGCACGCCCACACACTCATCATCTAGCATGTGCGTTACCTCATTTACCAAAACAATATAAGATACCGGGGTTTCATACCCTCAGGTCTAGAGTTACAATCATTACTTACCTTAAAACAGTCCGAAAACTACTCCGCGATGCTCTTGCCCCTCGAATCGGCTCCCAAATGCTCCAAGTCTATCAAAATTAGATTAATAACATCAAAATATGCTAGGGAGACGAACCCTAATCGAAAACTATCAAAATTAGGCACAATTCCCGAAATTGGCCAAACCTGGTCTCTGGGCCCACGTCTCGAAATTCGATAAAAATCACAAAACTAGAGTCTTCTTTCCCTCACGAGTCTACCCATATCAAATTTACCAAAATTCGACCTCGATTTCCCACTCGCATCATCAAAAGAAATTCCCAAATTTTCCTCCCATTTTCCCCCAATTTCCACTTTAATTCCTCAAATTACATGATAAAATCAAGGTTAAATCATGAAATTAACCCAAATGTAATTGAAGAACACTTACCTCAAGAACTGCAGTAAAAGTTTCTGCCAAATCCTCCTTCTCCCGAGTTCTCTAATGGTCTTTTGAGTTATGGCCTAAAACCCTCGTTTATGCACTTAAACTTTCTGCCCAACAATTTTCTTCATCGAGATCGCGACATGTGTCACGCGATCACGGAGCACAACTTAAGGCAGCCCTCAATTAAATCTACTCGATCGCGGAATTCTCCATGCGATCGCAATTCATCAAGACCCAAACACATGCAATCGCAAGCCACTCTATGCGATCGCGAAGAACAACGGTTCACCCCCTCACGCGCCCTTCAACTCTATGCGATCGCGAACCATACCACGCGATCGCATTGCACAACAGTCTCACACCCACGCGATTGCGACCTTTACCAAGCGATTGCGTGTAACAAAAATCTTTCCTCCCCAGCTTAGACCTACGTGATCGCAGGAAACCCCTTGCGATCGCGGAAGAGAAAACCAGAACCAGAAAACACCAGAAAATCTGCCATCTTTCAAGACCAACAATTGATCTGTTAACCACCTGAAATATACCCGAGGACCTCGGGACCTCAAACAAACATACTAACACACCCCATAACCCTATTCAAACCTAGTCAAGCCTTCGAAACACCAAAAACAACGCAAAAACACCAAAATTACATCAAGTTCAAGCATATGAACTTTGAAATTTCTAGATTCTACCAAAGATGCCGAAACCATCCAAAACACATGCGATTGACCTGAAAATTTGCACACATATCCAAAATGGCCTTACAAACCTGATCCAACTTCCGGAATTCCATTCCGACCCCAATAGCCTATTTTCCACTGCCTACCGAAAATCGCCAAAAATTAACTTTCGCCAATTCAAGCCTAATTCTACACCGGACCTCCAAACTACATTCCGAACACACTCCTAAGTCCAAAATCACCCAACGAAGCTATCTGTGCCATAAATCCACAATCCGAGGTCGTTTACCCACTGGTCAACTCCCGGTTAACTTTTCCAACTATTAAGCTCATTTAAGAGACTAAATGTCTCAATTCTCACCACGACCACTCCGAACCCGAACCAACATAACATAAATAGGTTCAATGAAACATGACAAAGCTGAAACAAGGGAAACAGGGCTATGCTCTCGGGTCGGCCGGCCGGGTCATTACACATAGTTGGTCGCCTATTAGGATTTGACAGTTGAACCATATCCTAGGGTGACTCAGAGCTACAAGGACAGAAGGAAATATTACTTTATTCTTCTACTAGTTCTTGATAGTAAATTGTATACTTCATGCTATCCGGTCGTTAAGGAGTGTTGCTAGACGCCATCCTTGATTAATATATTGATGTGATCAATTTATTACCGGCTTAGTATTGAACCTATGGGGTCGCACACTAACGAGTGTTCTGATCTTTGCTAAAGGATTAATTATTTTATTGTTGGTAATTAAATTAAAGTATTTAATTAATCAAACAAATTTAGTTATTAGTCCAAATGAATTATTATTATATTTTTTCTAGCACATAAGATATATTAATATTGTGAACAAATTGAAGTTTTCTATTTGGAATAGAAAATTAAAATATATCTCTTGGTTGAAATATATATGTGTGATATATATAATTAATATTTATTTATTTAAGACAAGTACATAAATATTAATGAAGGCTTTTTAGTAAATTCAATTCTAAATTGGATTGCCGTGAAGTCCATAAAGGACGTGCGCTACTTCCGTGAAACCCATTTGGAATGGGATTGAGATTTCCTTCAGGAAAATGCTAATCCAATTCAAAATTGGATTAGCAAATTGAAAGTCCATAAAAGTACTCGTCAATAACGAAATATATATAGAAAAGTGGCATAGAAGTTAATTTGTGGAATTAAAGCGTCTTACCTTAAGTATAGAATTACCTCAACCAAATAGAAAGAGAGAGTGCAACACAAGCCAAGAGAGAAAAAACAATTACAAAAAAAGTGTTTCTTGTTCTTCTAATTTGAATTGAGATTTTTGAGAAAAATTTCAGCACAAGTTTTTATTCAATTTGTTCGCGGGATTCATTGATCAAAGAGTTGATAGCAAGGACCGGTCTCGGTGTGGATATACATAGAGTCTTCGCACTATCGAAATTTTTTTAAAACGAGACTTTTTTCACCAGGTATGTCTTAGATCCAACCTTTGACATGTAAATAAATTTTAAACATGAAAATATTGGCCTAGGATTGTTATTGTCTTCCGCTGCATGTTACGAACACCTATATGCAATCCTTCATTTCGTACTTTTGTTCTCCTCTAAAAGTCACGTTCCCCCTCCAAAATAGTTTTAGGACCCCTTTTATACAAGTTGAAGGTGTTTAGGAGTCGAAATAACCGAGTCCTAGTCGAAAAAGGCCACTTTCCGTCTTGAGCGTCCAAGGCAGCGTGGGGCGTTGGCCCTGGCGCTCAAACTTTAAACATGCTGTAAGTTGCACCTAAATTTCAGGTTTTTCCTTTTTGATAGAATATTAAAAAATGATAAAATATAAAAAATATAGAGAAATAAAGATAAAATATAAAAAATGATAATATGATAGATGATATGATAGAATTAAAATAACGTCTAAAGGATAGAGAAAATAAAGGTAAAATATAATTTTAAGAATGATAATATGATAGATGATATGATAGAATTAAATATATCAAATAAAGTTATTTTCTATATAGGTCTAAACAAATTCTCTTATTCTATTCTAAATATATAAAATGTACAGCTAGGTCTATTATTGAGTATAATCCTGTTTCTATATCTAACTTAAATTCTTCGAAATTCTTGCTTAGGCTTCTATCAAATAGTTCTGAATTATAATTTGAGAGATTGATTGGCATAAGGTAAACTATAATAGGGTAGATAAATACATAAGGTAAATAAAAATACCGTTGGTAAAATTTTTACTGTAATATATTGCGTTTATAAGTTTTATATTGTACAATCCTACTCGGTACTCTCCCTTTTCAATCTGTAGACATGGGATTACTTTTTCTAGTATTATGATTTAGGAATTATCCCCTCTATACTCTTTTTTTTTATCCTCTGTTCATCTCTTCTTTCCAATTGTTTAAAGTAACGAATCTTTTCCTAACACTTTTTTCTCTAACCTCACCCCGGCTACGGTTAAAATGTATACACCCATTGTGAGAATTTATTGGATTCAACGGGTTTCTCCTAGGAATTTATAGGTTAGTCCATCAAAATTGTTAGGAAATTGGAAAGAGAACCATATACTAAGAGTGATTTTTTAATTATTTACAAAAGAGAGATTTACATTAAAGCACATATAAAACTGTAAAACAAGGGTAATATCCAGAAACATAATTTAGATAAAATCAGTAACTTACATGTTTACAGGAGAGGGATTTCCCTTTCGGGAAACCCAAAATTTTTTATTGATCTCGCGAATTAAAAACTTGCACACTGCACCATACAAATTTATTTATTTTACAGACTTAGGATATATCTTGGTAAGGCATACATTATAATATATTACAAGATTTTTTGGGTGATAGGTAGAAAGAGGAGGGCTGGAATATTGAAGATTAGAGCTTTTTTTTCGAGGTTTTGGTAGTTTTGCTTCTTTCCATCTTCATTCTTGCTCTTTTTATAGCCAAACTTTGGAGCGGATTTCCAGAAATCTTTCTTTCATAGCCTTGTCGGGTACTTCACTGGGCCCCATCGTCACATGGCTTGAATAGAGATTCCCTTTCATCTTTCAAATACGCAATTATTTTTTCCACTTAAGTCTTTACTTTATGTCAAGTCTTTTCTTTATGTCATTCATAGTTGCATTATTGCTACTTTTTCTTTTTCCTCTTTTGTCTTGTTCTTCTCGTATTGCTGACTAGTATTATTGGTTCTCCTGTTTACTTATACGTATTATAAAATTCTTACTACGTATTGAGGTTGTGTAGAGCTATTGAGTCAAAACTCATCCCTGAATCATCATCGTATGGGTCTTGAGCACCTTGATAGTTTGTATTTTCATCTTCATAATTGTCTTCGTCTCCTGATTTTTTTGGACTAGAATTTTCAACCATATGTTTGTCTTGCTTTTCCTTCTCCTGGAAGAATTTTTCTAGTGTCTGCTTAATTATGTCTTCGACTTTCTCATTTTTTTTCTTTCTTGGGCTTATCCCTTTCTTTTTTATTGCTTCTCCTTGTGTCAAGGTTCTCGGTAGTCTTCGTCTTGATGAGCTTGATGATGCCTCATCTTCACTTTTTGGCAAAGTGACAGCCATAAACGGATTTGATAAGTCTTTACCGGCTACCGTTTGAACCGGACTAGCTGTATCTTTATCCGATACAGTGGATCTTGTTACATTCACTAGGGAATGTACACCCTTCTTATCCATTTTTTCCTGAGATGGAGAACTCATTTCTTGGTCTTGTTTATCATGTTGCGAAATAACCTGTGTCTGGGAGTGTAGTAATTCAAGCTTTACCGCTTGTATTTTTTGTTCTAGCATCTTCACCTACTCCACTAATTTTGCTTTTTCGTGTGTCAAGATTTCATTCTTCTGGTTTAGTCTTCTAAAAGCTTCAGTCATTGAGGAGCAATGATCACAGAAAATTATCTTATCTGTGTCTTTTTGGATATTATATTGTGGGGTTTTTTCTGAATTTTGTTTGCGTGATGGGAAAATATAACAATTTGGTCCTAATATACCTCGTGCATAGTCTAGTGCTTCGGTAAAATCATTGAAACCTTTGAATAAGGGGTTTTCCAAATCTCTAATAGAATCTAGTACTTCTAACCATGTCTGAAAAATACCATTTGTCTTTCCATGTATAACTATATAATACTTAAATCTTTTTTCTTGATTTTTGTCTGTAAAATATTGGCATAAAGCGTTTGTTGCTGCTATTGTTTGCGTGATGGGAAAATATAACAATTTGGTCCTAATATACTTCGTGCATAGTCTAGTGCTTCGGTAAAATCATTGAAACCTTTGAATAAGGGGTTTTCCAAATCTTTAATAGAATCTAGTACTTCTAACCATGTCTGAAGAATACCATTTGTCTTTCCATGTATAACTATATAATACTTAAATCTTTTTTCTTGATTTTTGTCTGTAAAATATTGGCATAAAGCGTTTGTTGCTGCTATAAAATATTTGGTGTCTTTTTTATTATATGCTATCCATAAATTATCAATCAAACATCTTTGTGATCTATCTATGACACATTCTGGTAAAATTCTAAATGACATATTTGAAGGTGAAAAAAATATTAGATTATATTTTCCAAAATTTATTCTTTTCATACTACTTTGTTCTACTAGAGATTGTGGCTTAAATTGGATGTTACCTAACATTATCTGAAAATATTTGTCTGAGGATGAGGGTTGAACGCCCTTTCCTTGTCTTCATTCTTGATAGTTGTTGGTCTCATGCTGTAAAAGTATAACATATTTATTAGTTGACCGTAATTTTTAGCTTACTTAACTGATCTGCTAGGTTATTATCTTTTCCTTTAATATGTTCGAATATGAGGGTTATAAATTGATATAGTATCAATGAAATTGAACCATCTTCTTCTACTGCTATTTTTTTCATTTATTTTTTGGTGAAACTTAACTATAGCCTCGCAATCGGTTCTTATTAGTATTTCTTGTTTATTTAGTATATATAATCTGAAACTATTTAATCCATATATTACCGCTAATATTTCTGCGTCTATACTACTCATATTTCCTTTTTCTTTATATTTACCACTTTGATAAGCGCATATTTTTTCTGTGCTTTTATCACTATACTTATCGAGTTTGGCCTTTAAAACTGCTCCCCATCCTTCAAAACTTCCATCTATTTCTATAATTAGGTAATCTGATTCTAATGGCATATTTAGGTCAGAAATATTTTTGATTTTTTCTTTAATTTTTTGTACTAGTTTAATATCTTCGGTATTAAAATGTCTCTCTCCCGTTGATCCTGTCTTACCTGAAAAAAGGTCCATCTTTGAGGTTTTCGTACTAGTTTAAGTTTTTCTTTCTGGGGGGTTATTTCTACCTTTTTTAATTATTCTATTAAATCTTCTACGTCTCTATTCTTGGGATTTCCTGTTTCAGCTTTTATTTCTTTATCCTTGATAACTTTTTCTAAATTCGTATTTAGCTCTAATAATAGTGCTATTATGGTATTATTTTATTTTATTTGCATCTGGTCTGATTTTCCCCGAGGAACGTATTCCGTGAGTCCTTCTGGACTGGACTGAAATTTTTATGTTAGTTTTAACGCTTTATCGTATACCTGTCCTAGATCGTTCATGAAAGAGAGATTTATTTTATTGTTTCAATTGTTTCCTTTAATGTGCTTATCTCACTTGTTAATACTTCTATTTGATATGTTATCTTTTCTATTAGTTTAGTCGTTTGTATTTCTAATTCTTTAGGTCTCTCTGTAATTGTTTTGACTAACTTTTCTATCTCGTTTTTTGTAGGCATTTTTTCAAGGTTAAACTTGTTATTTAAGTATTGTATTTTTCTATCTATCTCTAGTTCTTGAGATTTTAGGAAATCACAATTTTGTTCTAGCTTTTCTAAAGTTTTTCTATGTTTAATTTGTAATGATTCTATAATTTCCAATGTCCTTAGTATGCTTTTATTATTTTTTTGAGATTTTTCGCTAAGGTTAATTATAAAATCTACTACTGTATTATATTGTTTGTCTTCTGTATGTAGTATATGCTCTCCTCATTACATCCAGACGAGATCAGAGATGCAAGTCTGTGAATCAGGAATATCGATAGTTAGATCAATAATACTTTAATATATATATAT